TCTTTGCCAATTATTTCGGTGAAGATTTGTGTTTCTAATTAATTGCTACACTTGATGTCAAATCATTCCATCTATTTTAAAATTCAAAATTCAAATAAAAAATATTAAACTTGTAATAGTACACGCCCCACACCCTTTAAAGAATTCATTTAGTCAACAAACATTAGAAGTAAACCAAGATTAATTCTGAAAAAAAAAAAAAAAAAAAAAACCTTCCTTACCTTAGTGACTTAAGGCTAAAATTCTATTTTTGTCCTCCTATTTTAATAAAAATCTTTTTTCGTCTTTTTCTTAAAAAAACTCTTTTTTAATTCTTAAAATTTATTATTTAAGCTTTTCTTAAGGTAAAAATATGACATAAAGACTTGAACTTACACAAAATTTACAATTTTAGACTTAAACTTTAATTACACTCAATTAAAGTCCCAAACTCCACAAAATTCTCAAATAAGATCATAATTGGATGGAAAATTAACTTCTGTCAAATCTTCTACACACCATTAATATTCCGTCACACCGTTAATGCCAGTCTTAGTTTTTTTTTTTTTTCCCTCTCTTTCTCCTTTCCCTTTCTCTTTCCTTTTCCCTTTCTTCTTCCCCTTTAACTTCGACTGGGTTCTCGAACCCAGCTTAGAAGAACCAGATCTGCTGGGTTCATGAACCCACCAACCAGTGGGTTCGTGATCCTAGTTTTTTCGATGTCTCACCTGTAAATGCAAACTCCGGCCAACATCAAAGGCTCCGGACAATAGGATGATTCTTACTACATCTCGGTAAGGTCCCACTTCTCCAATAACTAATTCCTCCCTGTTTACCTCCGGTGATGATTCTATCGCCATGTTGGAGACAATCGGGGCTCGACACAGGGGACAATTGATATGTGACGTAAGCCAAGTATCAATACAGGGGATGTGAAAAGCATGGTTGCACTTGGGCAAAAGCCTCAACTTCTCATCTTTCTGAAACTCGTTCAAGCAAACAGTGTGTAGAAGATTTGACGGAAGTTAATTTTCCGTCCAATTGGGACCTTATTTAAGAATTTTGTGGAGTTCGGGACCTTAATTAAGTGCAATTGAAGTTCGGATCCAAAATTACGAATTTTGTGTAAATTCGGATCCTTATGTCATATTTTTGCCTTTTCCTAATCTCTTTCTTACTTCTTACAGACGTAATTAGAATACTTTAGGTCATGAAAATTTTAAAGAAAAAAACTAAAAAGAGATTAAAAAACTTACTTTTGATTTTTTTATTAAAAAAAAAGAAGTTCAGTTTTAATTATTTTATTTTGAAATTTGAGCCATCTAATATATTATGTGTTAAAAAAAATTAAAAAATTAAAAAAAATTAAATAATAAATTTTAAGAATGAAAGAAGAACTTTTTTTTTTAGGTAAAGATACTAAAAACAAAATTTTTTTATTAAAATCGAGGTACTAAAATAAAATTTGTCCTTCGCCACCCTATTCGAGAGGGGAAGACAGTTGAATTGTTCACCAACCACCCTGTTGTCTGGGTTCTAGTTTTGTCCAGTCGCGTGGCGTTAAAAACTCTATTTGTGGCCGCGTAACAGACTGCAAACCGCGAACAAAACGCGTCGGAAGCTCGGTCATCAGAAACAGTCGTGTGAAACCGTTGCTGGGTTGAACGGAACCAGCGATGACCATACCAACAGCGATGACCATACCAACAGCGAACACTTTTTGTTTCATGACTTCGTTTAGTATCTAAGAATATAAAGTCAAGTTGGACCAGCTCAAACAAATGCAAACCAAAATGGTCATTTTAAATGGAAAAAAGAAAATCATGGCTGAGTCAATCAACAACCCTGTAAAGGTCCCACACTCCTCCTTCCTTCAAAGTCTATATATATGCTGACATAAGAGCTGTGGGTATCATCCATAGCAATTAGCAAACTCAAATTCCTTACTTAAAAGCAGTTTACAGGCGATTTCAGGGGAGACCAATTCAGATACTCACACAGCATCAATGAAGAGTCTTTTTGTCATCCTTTGTTTTCTGGCGCTGGTGGTTTCAGTGGAATTTAATGTTGTCAACGGCAGAGCTCTGCGATTGATGGAGACCGCAGTGGCTGGCTGTGAGGATGGAGGAGGAGCTGGAAGAATGGGTTCGGCGGGGTTTGCTGTTTCTGCAACCAACTCGAGCGGGAGTCCTTCAGTGATCATGAGGAGCTTGGCTTTTAGATTAGCCTCTGGACCAAGTGAAAAAGGTCCTGGCCATTAGCAAGATCTTTATTTTAACTTTAGTTTTGCACAAGAGACCCTATTTTGCAATCGAGACCATACCAGATTGCAAAATGGTAATGGTTGTGCAATTTTGAAATTTAGGACTCTCCATGTGATAGTTTTTGTTGTGTTATTTGGTATAGTTTATACTGTAAATCAGTTTTTTGTTTACACAAATATGTGAACTAGATTTTTTTCTTTTTTCTTTTTTTGGTCTTTTCATTTTTGAAAGGATTTGTTTTAAGATTTTTATACACTACTTGTAATTAGACAGAAATTAATTAAAGTGAGTTAGTAATCATATACTTTGGATTGAAATTAGTTTTATTAATTTTCATGTACTTTTTTTTAAAAATCATTTTGTCATGAGATCAGTTTGAACCATTGCCCTGAAAAAAAAAAAAAAAATTTTACAAGAGTGGCCAAAGCCACTTGCCCTATAAAGTCAGGTTCAATTTTCATGTACTTTTGATCATGAAAAATACAAAAGTTATTATCCACATTCACCACAGACAAGTTTGTTGATAGTGATACACTGATGATGCTTCTCGTTCTAAGGCGTGACAACTAAAAAGACTTGCCAGTCAAGTCCACCTACACAATTCTCCTATCCAACCATTTACCAATCAATTGAAGACTATCGGAAACACAAACCATGTTTTTAATTGATGAGCTTGGTAAAAGGGCTTGATATTTCTGTTAATTACAAAGGTAATTAATTCTAAGTTGATGTCCCACTTCCGGAATTTCTGAATTTTGTCAAATAATACCGCCCAACGTGGCGAATGGAGGTCCTATCAATATTCTTGTCGTGAACAACGACATGCAGAAGAGAACAAAAAGAGGCAGAAATGTTGGTAGGCATTTTTTCAAAGTTGAATTCCAATTTCCAGACAGCAACCTTGAACTCGGCCTTAAAAACTCGGCACTTCTTTTCTCATATTCAAGGTAGATGATGGATTGTTTCTATTTTTCTTTCCTTTTTAGTTCTTTAGATCGTTGCTTTTGTTGATTCAAAAACAATGGTGATTTATGAAAAGCATTATAAAAGAGTAAATAGTTTTTTTTTTTTTTTTCTCTTATAGAAGTAACAAAGTTTTAATGCATTGTATAGAAAATTTTTTAAGGGTTCATTATGTTATGCACCTAACTTTTCAAAGAACCCCTACTTAACACAAGATCAACAGCAAACTAACAAATTAAGGGTCAATTTTCTGACATCCTAAACTAACATTTCCCAACTATTGATGGAGGGTTGGATCCACATACAATATACGGACATTTCACGCTTTGATTTCCCTCAAGCCCATGTCCCTAAAGTCTTCAAGCCACAAAAGGAATCGGTGCCCCCATTAAATTAGACAGCAAAAGCGGAACGAGGGAGCCACTGTAGATGAAGCATACTGCAAACACAAGAAAATGATAGGACACATGCTGCTAAAGTTTTGTCACAAATTGCAGAATGCAGACAAACAAGAGTGAGATTTATTACTGTTGCTATACCCCAAACTGTTATTGCAACCAAAAATACTGATTTATGACTTGATTTGACTTATTTATCTTGTTAATTATTCAAGGTTACAGAAGATGGTGTACAGTTACCCACAACTTAGAACCTGGAGTGCGTAGACAGTACTTAAGTTGTCTTTTTTTTTTTTTTTTTTTTAATAATAATTTCTTGATATAATTCTAAAAATATATATATATATATAAAGCAATTTTAAAAATTATAATATACATAGAAAAATTAAACAATTATTTATTTATTTTTTTTTTTGTATGGACTACTTGATATCTGTAAACCCACTGGACCACCGATTAAATCCGGATTTGATCAGAGCAAGACCCAATGGATGGCAATGCTCTCCCTCACGAGTTTTGACGGAACTACATTATCAAAACTTGAAACCAAGACCTCTGATTAAACTGAAAGAATTTCCTACCAACTCATCCATCCGCTCATGAGTACAATTTTTTTTTTTATTCATTATCGTGTCTAAAGAGTAGAATTTAAGGAAATTACTTGACATTTAATGCTTTTTTAATATAATTTTTATAATAAATTAAATAACATCATTTTATTAGGTAAAAAAATTAATTAAAAATATTTGTTCGAGCACTTTAGGCACCATTAAACATGTCTAACAGTGCTTGGGCGTGCTTAATTGATCTAGACAGTGCAAACTGAATTAAATTTTTACCTAAAGGCTAATGCAAGCAAAATGACATCGCCCAGAGCCTAAACAGCGCTTAGGTCCGCTTTTTACAACACTGCAATTATTTACACCCTTTTACATCTCAATATAAACAAATAAAGTCTACTTTGAACACAACTTATTTTTCTTTAGGCTTTCCCTTTCTTATCCTCTATTTTCCTAGAAACCAAATAAAGGGAAACAAACAAAACTGCTTGTGAGAAGGAATAAACTGTCAGTTTTGCTCTTTTCTCAATTTCTATCCATGTTTGCAACCCTGCCAATTTCTTCCCAAAATCAAAGTGAACAAAGAGAATCTATAAAAGAAATAAGAACAAGCTTAAAATTTCTAAACAATCAATTGGAACAGAGAACTCAATGTTGAAATCATTCTCTAATTGACCCCTTTTTTTTTGGGCCGTCCTCTTAAGTGGCCTTTTGATACCACCATAGCAAGGAGTAGAAGCAGTACTGCAGTACCCAAAACAAAAACAAAAACAACAAAAAAAAAAAGGAGCAAAGGACAATTTTATGTAGGAAAGATCAAGAAATTAACTTTTTGAGGAACCCATGTGAGTTAGTAGTAGGAATTGAAAGAGCCGGAAGTCATCAAATTTGAAATCCCGAGGGATGTAGCAGTAGATTCTTCAGAACAGAAAAAGGAGCTGAAAAAAATGAAGGAAGGAGGTGAAGCTTTGAATCCCACTAATTGAAAGGGCAAAAAATAGTCAAACTGCATCATAAAGTTTACATTTTTTGTGGCATTGACACTTCAGAGTGTGACAGAGTCAGACAAAGACTTGTAGCACTCTCTAGATTTCAGAATGTATAATAAAAATCATACTATCAAGTTAAATCCTAGAAAAGCCCTTCTCATTCTAGGCTTTAACGCTGAAACAATTCTCAATCTGCTACTTGGAGCTGTCTGGGCAAGGAAGTATTATGAATTCAAGAATTTTCTGGAAAAAATAGAAAGAGTACAGATTGAATATGCAATAGATTGAAATCTTACAACTCAAATTAAACATTAACTGGAAATTATACGGTGAGAAGTTAGTTTCTATGGCTAGAAATGTCAACTAGGAACTTAAAAATTCCCACCGGCACTGCTAGCATACTATGCCTCATAGATTATAAGAAATGAAAATCATCACGACAGTACCGTATTAATGCCCTGATGCACTAACCAAACAATCAAATTTCTCAAAGCATAATGACAGGAAAAAGTGATCACACAATAAAAATGGTAAAATTATTAGACCAAACAACAATGCCACACACCAAAACTTACATTAGTTTGTCATGTTTTTCTTTCTCCCCAACAAACAGTACCGATACCCAAACAGGATTGTCAATTCATATTAATAAAAAAATAAAATAAAATGGAAAACTTGAGAAATCAAATACCAGAAGAAGCAAAATAAGATTTGCCATGAAAATACTGAGTGAATAGAATAAGATAATTAAGAAAGTAAACATAAGCTGTGATGTATTCCAACAATGAAACAAGAACACAAAAATCAAAACTTCAGTTAACAATAACACCACAAAGTACATAGTTTACAAGGTGGAAGTTAGAGATAAGAAAGCAATCTTATGACATAATGAACAGATAAGTATGATTTAGTATGCATTACTTTTACCCTGCATTTTTTTCTCTCACCTACTGAAAATTTCAATGTCACAAAAGTTAAGGAACACCATAGACTTGATCAGGTAAAAGAAAAAAAAAAGGGCTTAAGAGATGATTTCTCCCAAACTGTCTTATTCCAAAGCCTTTGAATTTTGAAAGGGAAAAGTGGACAAATCTACAAGAAATACCATACTTATTTGATAGAGAAGCAGCAGAATGCCAGAACTTAACTCAAACACTTATAAAAGCAAACAAATATACAGTTCAAAAAAGAAGAAGAAGAAGAAGATGATGATGATGATGATGATGAATTAAGAATAGAGAAGCAAGTTAAGAAGATAGAGCCACGCTTATCATATTAGCTATTATCTACCACCCTCAACTCACCCACCCAACCACCCCAGGGCCCCAAGCCCAACACCCAAAAAAGAGGAAAAGAAGATCACCTCACCAGACAAGCAACAAGTATTCTCATGTCCTGATTCCTACATGCAAACAAACTGTCCAATAAAATCACTCCACTAGACAAACTCAAACTCAGAATTCTAATGTTTTTGTTCTACCAAGGGGTTCAATAAGTTTCTCCAGCCACAACAAAACCATTCAATAAAATCACCTTACCAGACAATCATAGAATTCTAAAATCCTGGCCCTAGCTAGGAATAAGTTTCTCCAATTACAAACAAATATTCCAATAAAATCACCCCACCAGACAAATGCAGAAGTCTCATGACCTGGTTCAACCCAGGAACTAATACGTTTCTCCAAACAAACTCAGACTCCTCATGACCTGTTTCCACCTAAGATCAGATAAGTTTCCCCACATACCAAAAAATTGCCCACAATCACCCCCACCAAACTCAGAATCCTCATATCCTGGTGAAGAAACATTTACATTTACATGCCATGCCTGCAAATGCACATATTTATGGGAACATGAATTCTTGCTACAACCTTCTTGTTCTAATTTAGTGGTTCTTTATTATCAAACTTCCTCTTCAAAGATTTAGATGATTCAGTATTTCTTGCCCGTGCACATCCCTAACAGTTAGACTTGTCTAATCTAATACTCTAATTTCTAAATAAAGCAACAAAAAAAAAAGAAAAAAAAGAGGAACGCTGTTAAACTTAATTGGAGGGACGGGGAGGGAAGGAAAAACAAAATATGTCGATGAACAGTGCTGATATTTATCAGCACAGTGAAACATCAAAGAACAGTTCATAGCAATAACCATTCTCATTTCACAGTGTAGCAACAAGTAGACAAAGAAAATCGAATCAAATCAGAAAATTACGCAAATTTCCAAAATAATTATCGGATAAAAAAACTCCTAGTACTGATTAATATTACAAACACTACTATGATATGTAAGCATCCAATATTCATAGACAGTACGGACATATTCAGAAAGAGACACGAAAATGGAAAAATGATAAAAACATACCATATCCATCTAAATCAAGAAGCTAGAGAGACAAGAATCCCCAAACTCAAGCCTCCTCCTCAACGGACGAAGAGACCTCTTCGCCACCAGCAGATCCCGTGGGAGGCGCACTGGAGTCCACAGCCGCAGAAGCCGAGGGTGCAGCTGGAGACGCGGCTTCTCCGGCCCGAGCCTTGACGGTATCGAGCATGCGCTTGCTGATCTCCTTAGAGTAGAGCTGGAGAATCTCGATGCCGTCGCTCCCGGGGGAGAATGAGGCATCCGCGACCGTGAAGGCCTCGTCCTCAATAGATTTGGCCACGGCAGCTCCCTCTTCCTCCGGGATCGCGCCGTACCGCTTGGAGAGCACAGACGGTGACGACAGCGTCTCGACGAGGCGCTTGATCACGGCTTCACGAGTACGCTGAGTCGGCGGCCAAATTTGCAGCGCGAGGTTACTGAGCTTCTCCGTCTCCTCTTTGATGTCCACAGGTTTCGCATCTTGATTCTGGCCATGGGTCTCCATTCCTGCAGTGGAATCCTCGTGAGCAGAAGTAGTGACGGTGGTGGTGGATTCAGGGTCCGACATTTCTCGGGTGAAAAACAACAAAAATTTTCTTTCCTTTTCTTTTCTTTCTTTTTTTTTTTTTTTTAAGAAATTTCTAGGAAAAGAAATCTGGACCTGGGAGCGTAAAATATTTAAGGCGGGGAAAGAATTCAGTGTGGTTGCGACGGGAAATAGACATTTCACCTCAAGTTAGATCTGACGGTATCAGAATTAATCACAGTGGAATATAGAGCCGGCAATATACGCGTGCCTTTAGGTACAAATTAAAGGTAATTAATGCATTAATTGTACCCTGGGTTTATTACTTTAAGCCACGCGTTAGAAATACCCCTTAAAGGTATTTTGATTGCCATACTAGTCTGATTTTTCTCAATCTTTTAATTTTATAAGAAATTTTTTTATTGAAAAAATAATTGAAAAAGTATTATATATAATGTTAAACAAACTCTTTAGTAAGTGTTTTTTTAACTTTTGTGTAGTTAATATATATTTTTATAATTAATCTTAAGGGATATATTTAGCTTTTTCACTTTAATAAATTTATTTTTTTTATTTTTCAAAGTTTTTAATCCCTAAACTAAAAGGTTTAAAGATTTTAATTATTAGAATAATGAAATTCGTTAATTTTTTATTAAAATAAAAATAAAATATTTACAGAATTAGATCTCTAAAATTAAAAATGCAACAATTTAGTTTTAAAAGTTTAAATTTTAAAAAAATTAATAAATTAAAAATAATTAGTATGTGACTTTACTATATACACAAGAATAATATTAGATATTTACAATTAAATCAAGTGATTAGTTCAATTTCAAAAAAAGAAATTTGATTGAAATTTAAGAAAATTTCTTGATTGTATTTTTCTAATCTCTTGGATTTTTTTTATCTAAATTTAACTAAATTTTTCTTTTAATCTCAATCAAAATTCTTTTTTTTTAATAAATTAATCTATTGCTTGATTTGATTATAGATATCTAATTGTATTCTAATGTATCTGAGAACGTCATTTATTAATTCTTTTTAGTTTACTATTTTTTTAATTTTAAAATTTTTAAAACTAAATTATTACATTTTTAATTTTTGAAGTTTGATTATGTAAATATTTATTCTCACTTTAACAAAGAGTCAATAGATTTCGTTAGGCCAAAATCTTTGAATTTTTAAGTTTAAAGATTAAAAATTTCATAATATAAGATAAAAAGTTAAAAACTTTAAATTTAATAAGATAAGGACTAAAAACACATGTTTTAGTGAACTTTAATTTAATAAATTAATTAATCAATTAAAATTATTTACATTTAATTTTTGAAATTTTAAATATAAATTAGTTAAAAAAATATATTTGTTATACGTTTAATTTATATTTCTAAAGTATATGTTAAATAAATTTATTTTGTAATGAAGTTTTCTTAAAATTTTATGAAAGGGTTACTTTTATATGTTTAAAAAAAAATTTACATAAGAAAAGTTATCAATAAAAATTAAATTCTAAATAGAATCATATAATTTAATTGTAGAATTACATGTATTGTAAATCACAAATTAAAATTTTAATCCTTAATCACTATATAAAAAAATCCAAAAAAAAAAAAAGAAGAAGAGAGTTTGGGACTTTTTTCCCTATCACAAAAATTAAGGATTTAAAATGTCAGTTTTCCCCTCGCGTTATAATTTTTTTAATTAAGATAAATGATTCGGGAAAAAAAAGAATCGAAACCCTTATTATAGTAAAAGAAATTTACACTAAGTTGTTCGACTACTAGGCCGACAGGCCTCTTTCTCCTCGCGTTATAATATTAAAACGCGAAATTGCATAAATAATTCTGTTTTAATAATAAAGAAAATTGAAATATCCCTCCTCGACCAAACACAGCATTCCTGTATTATCTACAATTTATTATTCTTTTTGAGATAGGGAAATGAGAATATTTACAAAGTAGGAACTCGAAACCTGGTCTAAAGCCAGAAATCTGGGTACACCAACCATTGCAGCTGGAGATGCGGACGCTTCGAAAGCTCGTAAGGTTTTCCTCGAACATTGGAAAATTATGAGGAAATGTTGATTTTCCCCAATAATTGATCGGTGTCGAAATTTTGATTAATTAAATCTAAATATTAAAATTTGAGGAAAAAATCACTGATCTAAAAAGACCATGTTCTTTTTTAAGACTTGTATTTGGTGGCATCAAATCAATCAAATTTTAATTTCCTGAGATTTCCTCCTCAATTGATCTTCGTTTATGGCAATTAACTGACGTTTTATTCTATATACTACAAATTTTTTTTTTTTTTTTCAGTTTCTTGTCCAGTATCCGGGGCGACTAATCCGGACCCGACCCGCGTCGCGCACCTAGAAATGGTGGTGAGTCTCCTAGCGAGGGCTGCTGCATTTACAAGGTTTCGAACTCGAAATTTTGTTTAAACTGAAACAAGCCGCTTACCACTTGATCCAACCTTTCGTTGGTATATTCTACAAATTACAATAAGGCAATTTGAGCGATGTGAGAACATGCCACCCAAATAAATAAAGCATAATAAGCGAAGAAGGCCCATGAGAGCCCGCTTACCCTTTTTAAGTTTTTGTGAAAGCCCGTTTATCTTATCTTACCTCCTGCATTCTTCACTTATTAAAGCCGAAAGGAGGGTCAGGGTCAATGGTTAGGAGAAACTAGAGCCTATAGCCCACTTAAAGGTCCTGTATGGTTGGGAGAAATTTTCTTCTTAAACTTTTAAAATATTTTTTAAATTGTTTTAAAATTTTTTTAATAAAATTATTTATATATTTTTTTATATTAATATTATAATAAAAAAGATAAAAGCAGTATTTTTAATTTTGATTTTTCTTGATTTGTAAATTTTTCTTTTCACATTTTTTAACTTTTTTTTAATATAAAACACACTTGACAATTTTCCTATAAATTTTTCTTATATCAATTTCTTATTAAATATAGAAAAGTTAATAACTTAACAAAATTTTAACAATACTACACTATAAAATTTATCAACCTTTTATACAAAACTTCCCTAATTATTTTCATAATATAATTGGCCCTCTAACCAAATAGGTTTAAAAAAAAATTTAAGCCAAAACCCACAAACAAATCAAGTTCAATGTTGCTAATAAAAATTTAGTTAAATTAATATTTATTAATTTAAAATTTTTAATTGAAAATTAAGGTTAATCACTTAAATTTTTATGTTCTCATTAAGCAAACTCTTTAATGTTAAGAGAACGTCTTTGTGATATAATAATCACAATTTTTTTGTAAAGAATTTCTCATATTAAATTTGATAGGAAGAAGCTCAAATCTCACCTCAATGTTTGTAAAAAAAAAAAAAAAAAACTCTTTGATGCAAAAAAATAATAATAATAAATAAAGTTTGGTGTTTTGGTTGTGACTTGTGAGTGGAGTTTGATCATATTTCCCTGTGTGGACAACACGCAGCCCTTCCTTAGACTCATGGGTCATGACCATGTCCACTCACCTCCCCAACCCTTTTCCATTCCTCAGCCCAAAAAAAAAAAAAGAGGAAAAGAGGGCTTTCTAGCACCGGATTCACGTATGTTTTCTAGTAAAATTACAAATTCATGAGCCAAGATTAAGCCAATAAAAGTCAAATCTGGGTGACAAAAGGCCTAGATTTTGGGGAGGGGATCGAGGATGGATGTAGTCTGTAGGATATGATTAGCCTAGTTGGAATCTGCCCCTGGAACTTCTTCTGCTTGTACGCTAATCGATGTCCGTACTTGTTTCTTTCAATGGTCAATAAAGCTCATGAATTTGCTTCTCGATACAAAAGATGTTCATGTCAGCTCCTGGGAAGATTCCATTTTTGAACATCAGAATCAACTGAACTGAAGGGACGAGACAGTGTTCTGCAACTCTGTTTTGATATTTGTTTGGGTATAAAATGCCAATTTTATTTATCCGGTAAAACTTCATGTATGGAAAGCCAGTATATTGCTACTACAACCAATGAGACAAAAAATCTTCTATT